ATATTCTATAATTCACTGATAGGAATGGATTAGTATTTCCCTTATGCGCATATGGACAATTCATCTTACAAGCAGACGCATTACAAATAATAAATGTATATGTATTACATACTTTTACATCGTTCTACCGGCTGCCATCCGGTTGCATAGCAGCGGCGAGCCTCGAGGTAGCTGCATGCGGCTACAGGAGCCTAACATGGCGCAGGCGCAGGTAAATAAGAGGTTATGCAAAATATTAGTAATTAACAGTATGAGCTAGTAAAATGGGGATAAGATGCATGCAATGCCGACAATTCATGTACAGGTCTGGTATAAGTTACATCAGTACCGAACTAAAAGATCGGTTACCCTCATTGAACTTCCCATGGCTATTTTGAAAGAATTTGCACCCTAGCTGTCTGTTCTCCAAGCCTCCACCTTCAATGCATCAGTGCAACAAACCAGATCTCCATCTTCATTGCATCACTGCAACAGGCCAGATGTCATGGCAGTCCCTAAGACCTCCTCGCCCACCAGCCTGGGTCATACCCACCCCGTGTCCATCACCCCCATCCCCAGCCTCATGTTCGAAAGCTTTGTCATGGACTAAGCATACACTGATTTCCATGACAGCCTCGACCCATAGCAGTATGGATATGTTAAGGTAACTTCCACCACCCTCTACCTAGTTCATTTCCTCCATTTCATTTCTAGCAGCAGTGTTCATGGACGTTCGACCTAGCAGACCAACATCGTCGTCTAAAAGGCCGCAGCGATGGGGCTCAGAAGGATTGGATTCCACTTCGACCTCAACACCATCCCCACCCTGCCCCCCTCACTCTCTCTAGACGACCACTTGCTGGACGTGGGACCACCACCAGGCTACTCTGAGTCGTCATCGATAACGAGCTTTCATGGGACCACCACATCGCCGCCATATTCAAATCAACCTCATACATACTCCGCCGATTGAAGTCACTTGGTCTTCCAGTATCTGAATTATACACGATCTTCAAAATGTTCATACTGCCCACCCGCTTGGTCATACAGCCTCAATAACACACAACTAAATAAGCTAGAAAATGTCCAGAAGAGAGCCTCGCCTCACAACCTAAAGGGCCTCTTCACCTGCAACCTCTATAAATTTGGCGAGCAGGTCTTGTCTATATATACGTATTCTTCATTTTTACGTAACACATCTTGCACTACTGGTACTAGCGGGCAAGAATATGTTCATTCACATTGATATTGCATGCACCTCTCTTCCAGACATGGCTCGTGAATGATACGCTCCACCTCTACTGGTGTAAATAATACAAGAGCCACTTCCTGAAAGCCCATTGAGTCAGTCTCCCTTCAAAAGTTTTGAGTACTCATGGAGAGACGTCCCCATCACCATGGTCCTCAGCTAAATCTTTTCAGGATGAGACAAGACGGCCCTGTCACCAGGATCTAATAGCTGCAATAGTCAGTTTGTACCTACTGCTGTTGGTGGTTTGTGTAAGGATTGTTGTCACGTGAAATCATTAAGAATTTACAATATCTGCTGTAACAAGTGCGTTAGTACTTCTCTAGTTAGTATCACTGAATTCCTTTGTGCTCAAAATTGTAAGGTCAGTGGCCAATTCAGTACAACCTTCACACTAGCGGTATTTACACAAGGTGTAATTGCTACTACTACTGAAACGTATTTATGCTAATAATGGTGCGTCTGAACCTCACGGCCTTCACTTTTATGCTGATTAAACAGAAAACAATCATCCAGAGCGCCTCACGATGTTCCCAAAATGGTTTCAGTAAGGGTTCCAAACTAAGGTCTCCAATAAACTAGACTCTGAAGATTAAGACGCCAAACCATCCTGCTACTTGCAATGCATCTTCGTATGATTTGTAAATAAGTCGATGGAATGTGCGGACTGTATATATTAAACTTGGGGAAATACTCACTCATTCCAAGAATCACTCTGAACTCATGTCAAGAGATAAAAAGTAACACCCAAAGCCTCGGCAATAGTAGCTGAAGGATCATCTTTTGGAAGGAAATGCAGTCATAATTCAACATTCGAGGACAGTATTCACGATCAGAAGAGCACTGCCATTCAGATGCACCAGAGATAGCTTGTTTAGTTTTAACACACTTGCACCCAGTCTCAGATATTAACTTCAAGCAACACAGGATGAGGCTAGCGGGATCTTAAAGCAAAGAGATCTTAGAATGAAAGGGATCATAGGACTAAGCGAATGATTATGCAGAAGGGATCACAGGACAAAGGGGATCATAGGGCATAAATGATAGGGAAAGTGACCATAGGAAAATAACGTTATCGTACGAAAGGGATCATAGGACAAAAGGGATCACAAGATAAAAGGGATATGTAACTGAAAGGGATCATAAGATAAAACAGATAATAGGACGAAAGGAATCATAGGACGAAAATGATAATAAAAACCTATCATGTAAAAAATGCATATGGCGAAAGGGAATGCGAAACGGAAAGGACCATGGCACGAAAGGGCACCCTTCCTCAAGTGCAAACACAAACTGAAATAACGGTAACACCTCTTTTGTCTAAGGTGATTTAGACTGGTTACAAGTGAAGAATCAAAGGGCTGACTATACCACATCCTCTTCTGTGAGCACAGTCAGGCATCGCATACTATATAATTCCGGCAGCTGCAGGCTTTGCAGGTGTGTATGTATGCACGTGTTTAGCGGCCTATCATCAGTTGTGAGTGGTTGTAAATGATAAAAATAACACGACCATCTGTATAGGATTGTGTTAGTAAATGATAAAAATAGTACGAATGTCTTTATTGCATTATGGTAATCACGATCTATTGTTTCTTCCTTACACAACCTTTGTAAACCATCTATAATCATGCAATATATATTAATTATAATGTTGATAACTATGGCCTGGCTTCCTTCGGAACCTGGGGTAGTTTTATTTGTGCTAAATGCTGAATACTGGATACTGATATCTGATCCTTGTTTCTTTAAAGTGTATTGCGAATACATGACAGCAACTCTTAGGCATATCATAACCACTGCTGAGTGAATGAACTAGTCTACAATTTACATTTTTACTAGGCCTTATTTTGAAAGTCAATGCACATTAGTCAAGAGATCCGTCAGAATTGCTCAAATTTCACACTGAAACACACAAAAAGTTTCCTCATTCTATTCCTTTCAGGGTGAACGCCGTTGCTGAGTAGCCCTAGGCTCCGGTTATTCCGTCGGCGGTATACTGACGGTATTCAATATTATCATTATTATCGTATCGTGATAATGATAATGATATTGACAGTAAAAGTAAAAAAAGAACATCTTGATAAGGATAATAAGAATAATGATGTTACTGATGATAATGATAATAATGATAATAATGCTAATTATAATCATTATTACCATTATTTTGTTATTACCATTTTCATTATCAGTTTAAATATTATTATGATAATGGTGATTATTATCATGATCGTCATCATCCTCATCATCATTGTTATTATGGTTCTCATTGTTGTTATCGTTATTATTCCTCGTTGCCATTATTGTTATTATTATTGGTATTATTATTATTATTGGTATTATTATTATTATTATTGGTATTATTATTATTGTTATAATAATAATGATGATGATGATAATAATAATAATAATAATAATAATAATAATAACCATTCTTATTATTATCATCATTATCATTATTGTCATTATTATTTTCGAGCTTTTACAGTTACTAATTTCTTTGAAGGTCGGGCTCTGGCTATCAAACGGTGCTCTACATCGACTGGTACAAGTACTACGAGTGCTACCCCCAGGAATTCAACGGTGACGGCGAGGGGGAACCGAGGCAGTTTCTACCGTAGTGCGTTTTTGTTTTGATTTTGGTGAGCTTAGCGATCTGCATGGGCAAGTGTGGATACGTGGGTATCTACCCGAGTTAGCTGCCTCTGAATACAGGTTGTGAGAGTATTTGCACGAGCAAAGTTTCCAAACGTCGCGCATGGCCCTTCCTCACATCTCCTCCTTTGCAGGCACGGCGGCAGCTGGTTCTGGGCGGCGAGGTGTGCATGTGGGCTGAGTACGTGGACCGCATTAACCTGATCCCCTGCATGTGGCCGCGGGCTGCTACCGTGGTGGAAAACACACACACCGTCGCCGCCACCGCGCCCCACCTGGAGGAGCACCGTTGCCGGCACCTCGGCAAGGGCTTCGACGTCGAGCCACTTTATATGACCTGCCCAGCTGACCTCTCGGCTGCGACGTCGAACTGCTCTGGCCGTCTCGTTGTCCAGCTGACCTAGAATCAATAAACGCTTAACCACAGATGCACTGAATGAATTCCCTCATACAGTATCCTCGGACAAATATGCTGATATGGATATAGGGTCCATAAGGGACAACAAAGTTTAACACACGAACACCTGCGATTGCCGAAACACCTGCTCTATACATGTCGGAACAGTTCCAGTCGACTGTAACGCCTCCGGCGCAGTACACCTCTCGGTGGCTGTCTTTCAGTTTAGTGAAATCGAAAGCATTCTGCATGTTCGTGTAGAAGGCAAAAAGGTAAGCAAGTACTGGATGTGTGTGAGCAGTATATATACAAATATATATATACAAATATGTATATATACATACACACACACATATAGATATACATACATACATACACACATATATATATATATATATATATATATATATATATATATATATATATATATATACACACACACACACATACACATATGTATGTATGTGTGTGCATTGTATATATGTATATATATGTAAACACACACACACACACACACACACACACACACACACACACACACACACACACACACACACACACACACACACACACACACACACACACACACTCATTCTAGTTCAGTTAGAGTATCTGTGTACGTTGAAAATGTGACATAATTGCAGAGTTGAGTTAAGGTACTGGAAGGTGGGCCTTCATTTGATGCTTCGAAACTACTGCCGGTCTCTTGACGTGGAGGTAGGAGAGTTTTTTTTCCCATACACCAAGGACCACTTTGTCTGTGATTAGAGGTATTGAAAATGTCACGAAATTTCGGGTCACGATTTCTAGGGGGGCGAACTCTCGTATTAATGCAGGCGGGACTTTGTCAGGGCTTAGATATATACTGTCAGTTATTCTTTTCAAACTCTGAGATGCTTCGTATTTATAGACTTATGTTTATAGAAATCGCGGGTGAGGAAGGGGTGAATATGATTGCAAAAAAGTGTCTCAGATCGGAACTTAAAGAGAGTAGCTTGGTAATGTTTAGAATATGGTACAACTGCATATTTCTAGTGTGTCTATATGGTTTTGGGAATTTCTCATTGGTTCTCATTTGTTTATGAGGATTCTACTTAATTATGTGTCACCCGTAATTTGTTATCCATGATTCAAACGGTTGATTTTTTTCTCTATTGGGGCGCTGTGGGACTGTCCTTTGTTTTGATTTTGTTCCTTCCGTTGCACTTCATCTCTTCAGACTATCGCGCTCTTTACAGTATTTAAGAAAAAAAAAACTTCACTGATTCAGGAGACGTTTCGGGTTTCAGTGAATCCTTGAGCTTGCCTGTGACGTAACTTTAAGCCAGTAGAAGTGCAATAAAACTGATTGCAACTTTCAGAGATCACTATTACCATTGCTGCTGTCGCTGCTTTTGTTGCTCTTGTTACTGTAATTGACATAAGAAAGTAAATATTACCAATCTTCTTTTACCCTTTGTTCACCTCTTTCAAGTTTTTAATGTTTTTATCGTATTTTCACTTGAAAGTGAGATAAAATGTTAATTTTAGTCGTAAATTATGTTTACATCTTTTTTTTACTTCCAACATTTGTTATTGTTATTACGATCATCAGTATTGATATTATTATTGCTACCATTATTAATGTAAATGTTATAGTCCATATTATTATTATCATTATTATAATTAATATCACCATCATTATTGCCATATTATCGTAGATACATAATAGACAGATAAATGACACACACACACACACACACACACACACATATACTTCATTTTACCACTTGACAATCTTTATTTCGCGGCTTCAAGCAATTTCCCGCGCGGAAAAAAAATCATCAGCGTCAGCAAAAATTTTCTGGGCGAGTGACGTGCTCCTCCTCCAATGTCTGCGTGGCTGTCTTCTGTGTCTTCTGACGAGGGATAGAACTTCTGGCTCTACTTCGTTGGTTTCCTCTGTTTGTTCTTCTCTTTCTTCTTGATTCCACTCGAATAAAATTGTTTCGTTCCCCTTGCTCCTCCTGACACCACAAGGTAGCGAGTTAGGTTCTCCCTGTTTAGGTGTGCGTTGACTCTGCTATTTGTCATAACAGGTGTAGTGTCCCTTTCTGGGAGGGAAACACCTGGCACTGGTGTCTACCATTACTCAAGTGATAGATCGTATATACACATACCAAACACACACACACACACACACACACACACACACACACACACACACACACACACACACACACACACACACACACACACACACACACGCGCATACACACACATACACACACGCACGCACACACACACGCATACACACACATACACACACATACACACACATACACACACACACACACACACACACACACACACACACACACACACACACACACACACACACACACACACACACACACACTCACGCACACACACACACACACACAAACACACACACACACACACCAAACAAACTCAAACACGCTCACACGTGTACACAGGCACACAGATGCAGAAATGTATAAACAAACACAACACACATTCGGGAAGTGAATTTTACACACACACACACACACATACACACACGCATACACGCAAACAGAATGTGTTTAAGCGCATTACACCTCAACACACTCGCATACATACACACACTACAGACGTTAGTTGCCGTTAAGCTTCATCTCACAGATTCTATGAACCGCCACCTCCGCCTTTGTACCAGAAATACTAGGGATACTAATCACTCGTGCCGCAAGGGAAGCTCGAATGGCAATATCTGACAAGTGAAATTAACGCTGATAAGGCAAAGAAACGCAACAGCGATAAGGGTAAGGCTTAAAACACCGAGGTAAACGATAGGATATAATTTACGATTATAAGAAAGGATTATCAAAAATAATAATGATGATGATAATATAATTAATGATAATGATGGTAATAATAATTATGGTACATTATAATAAAAATGACCATGACAATATGGATGTGACATCTGTGTTTATTATTATCATTATCATTCATGGTGATGCTAATAATAATATTGATGATAATGATAACAGTAATAACAACAATAATGATGATTATGATGATGATAATAATAATAATAATAATTGCAAATGACAATAATAATTACAAATAACAATAATAATAATAATGAAAATAATAACAACAACAGCAATGATAATAACTATTATCAATACTGTCATTATCACCTCATTATCATTACCTTCACTAATATCATCATTATCATTAATATGTTGATAGTGACAACACTAATGACAATACTGATGGTTATGATGATACTGACAATGATAAAGATATCAGCCCAAAAAATATAAACATTGAAATTCCGATTGCAGGGACTATAACAGAAACATCATCAGCAATAATGGTGATAATGGGGGTACCAATAATGCCATGATAAATGATTTAATTAAAAGAGATGTGGTGATAACGGTAACCATAATGAAATTATGATATCAATAGTGAAAACAAAAATAGTTGCTATGATGATAATAATGGTACCAGTGATGGAATAGTCATCATGATTATGATGATACTATTACTTATAAAGTGATAAAGAGTAATGAGTAGAAGAAGTAATGATAACAATGATGATCAAGATGATAATGACAATAATGGGAATAACAATAATTATGATGATAGTAGTAATAATAGTAATAGTAGTAATAATAATAACAATAATAATAATAATAATAATAATAATAATAATGATAATAATAATAATAATAATAATAATAATAATAATAATAATAATAATAATAATGATAATAATAACTGATAAGGAACCAACATTTTTCTACTGACCCTTTCCAGTAGGAACCGCGTTTCTTTTAATCTTCATAAATAAGCTGTTCTAATATCACATTGCATTCATCTATTCTCACTTTGTGCAAAATTTACCATGAAGTGGTCCTCACACGTAAGAATGTTGGATGATGCCAAGAGAACGGGCAGGCGATGGGTTGTAGCAGGCAATGACTGGGACCAATTTATTTCAAAAGATGGGTATGCTTAGATGATCAGATAATTTCCCAACTATTTCGAAGTGAATTGTATTGCCGAGAGGCCAAGAGCAAGTAGAGATCGGCGGGCACTATGGTGGGACCTGCAAGTGGCTCTATGGACGTCGTGGAGAAGAGGAAAACTGCAACGCTACAGCAGCACTACTCTCAAAAAAGAAGGTTCGTCCAAAACCACTGTGAATCACAGCATCAAACCTTCGTCAGTCCAAACACCGATGTGCGCAACAGACGTCCGAATCTTGTTGGAATAAAGTGAAAAGCATCATGAAGGCAATACGAGCCTGTCGATGGGATCACTTGGTATCTTTCCTACGGGTGTTCGTGTGACGGCAGCGCTCCAGTAATAACCCCATCGAGAACATCTGCCGACATACTGGAGCCTATCAGTGTGTAGATACATTCTAGCCGTGAATTGTATTTGTGTTTATGTATGTCTGCACTCATTCACATAAAATGTTTCTCTGCTTTATTTGCTAATTTCCAACTTTGGTCTTTTCTGCCGCTTATCTGAGGAGGACTGCATTAGCTGTAGTTCGGACTGTTCATAATAATAGTAATAACAATGATTATAACATAATATTAATATTATTAACACATAATAATATTACAGATAATAATAATGATAATGATTGCAATAACAATACCTATGATTATGATGATAGGAATAACAATGATGATTAATATAGTAATAATGACAACATTGATGATTAACATGGTAATAATGACAACAATAATAATATTAATGTTAACAGTAGTACTATAGTACCACTGTCAAGATTAATACTGCGAATACTCAAATAATTGTTTTTATGGTAATAACCATAATGAAATAGCAACAATAATAAGAATTTTTGCATTATCTGTATCAATTTACGTCAACACTAAAAAAATGATAATAATAAAACTAAAACAAAATAGATATACTTAGCACACAGTTATTTATGTATTCCCCTATCACACACAGGCATTATACACGGGCCGAATAATGGGACCATGTTCAAGGTATCGTCGAAAACTGCTGGCAATACTGGTTATGGTCTGGCTCTCCGTGACACTTCGACTCAACATCTACATTCCTTCGGTCAAGGTGAGTTGTTGATCTTTGAATAGTACGGCTCTCCTTTGTGATAGGTCTGTACGTGGTAATGTGTTACAGTAAGTCTTGGAGCTTAAGTTTGTCTGCGATTCATTGCGACTTTCTTTTGTATATGGTCAGGCCATTGCAGAGTTTGTTTATGCATTAAAACAAATCTTGGGAGTTTGTGTCTTTGGTATTCATTAAGCATGGGTGACTATTGGATTCGGTTTGCTTGCTTTGTTTAATGTTTTGTGTTATTTGGACAACAGGGCAGTTATTGTGGTTTAGATGGTAACTGTTGTAATCTTTGATGACTGTGACATGGCTGTCATAACGATACGATATTAATTCACAATTTGAGACCCTTAAAATCTGAGGAAATCCTAGCCATGAGCCTGAAGGGATGTTCTTGAAATATATAAATAACGTAAATTAATTGCTGACAGTTGATTGGGTGCATTTAATGCTTTAGACATTTACGATGAGTCTACAGGATATAGTTCTTACTGAAATGTAATTAGTTCTTTTACAATTTCCTTAGATTCCGGATGACGCCCTGACGACCGGAGACTCTAGATTCGACGAATATATCCAAGAAAGGTCTCCCAGAAGGGATTTGCATAATAGCCCAAGGATAAAAAGCGAAGATCTCATACTAATACAAAAGCATAGCGAGATAAAATCAGCAGATCCATTGGATAATGAAGGAGTCAGCGCCCCAAAGGAAGCCCAAGGGAACAGAGAGTCGAATCCTGAAGTGCAAGAGAAAAAGGAATCAAATATTTCTGAAACGCATCAGGACATGGAATCAAATCCTCAGATGGAACAGAATAAGGAATCAAACCCTTCTGAAATCCGACAGAATCAAGAATCGAATCCCGAGGCTCATGAAAAGAATGAAGTCTCAAATTCCCAGGTGCCAGAAAAAAAAGAATCAAATCTTGAAATACAAGAAAATCATGAAATGCAAGATAACAAAGAATCAAATCTTGAAATGGAAGAAATCAAAGAATCAAATGATGAAATACAAGATAAACAAGCATCAGATCGTGGGATGCAAAAAAATAAAGACAACGAAGAATCTAATCGTGAAATACAAGAAAATCGTGAGATGCAAGAAAATAAAGAATCAAATCCTGAGATGCAAGAAAAGGAAAACAACGAAGAATCAAATCGTGAGATACAAGAAAATCGTGAGATGCAAGAAAATAAAGAATCAAAACCTGAGATGCAAGAAAAGGAAAACAACGAAGAATCAAATCGTGAGATACAAGAAAATCGTGAGATGCAAGAAAATAAAGATTCAAATAGTGAGGTGCAGAAAAATAAGGATTCAAATCCTGAGATGCAAGAAAATAAAGAATCAAATCGTGAGATACAAGATAACCAAGAATCAAATCGTGAACTGCAGGAAAACAAAGAATCGGATCCTGAGTTGCAAGAAAACAAAGACTCAAAGCGCGAGGTGCAAGAAAACACGAATTCAAAAGGTGAGACACAAGAAAACAAAGAGTCGAATCCTGGGATGAAAGAAAACAAAGAACTGAATGGTGAAGCACAAGAAAATAAAGAATCAAATGCTGAGACGCAGGAAAACAGGGAATCAAATGCTGAGACGCAGGAAAACAGGGAATCAAATTCTACTGAACGACAACAGAAAAATGAAACAATTTCCGAAATCCAGCAGAACGGGGCATTAAAACCAGCTCTAGGATCCGAGAAAGTGGAGGCGTTTTCTAAAGCAGAAGAAAAGAAAGACGTAAAACCGATTGCCTCTGAACTGCATGTGAAATTGCAAGGAAGTCCAGTCAATAAATCTCAAAAGGAACCGAAGAAAAAAACAAACTTATTGAAAGTAGTAAGTTCACAAGTATCATAAGATAAGCAAATACATACAAAAATACATACACGTACACACACACACACACACACACACACACACAACTGGCATAAATATCTGCAGACACGCTTGTGTGTGTGTGTGCCTGTGTGTTTATGTATGCATGTACACATACACACACACACACACACACACACACACATACACACACACACACACACACACACACACACACACACACACACACACACACACACACACACACACACACACACACACACACATATATATATATATATATATATATATACATATATATATATATATATATATATATATATATATATATATATATATATACATATATATATATATATATATATATATGTATGTATGTCTGTGTATATGTATAAATATACATATATGTATGTATACATATATATGTCCATATATGTATATATATAAACAATATATATATATATATATATATATATATATATATATATATATATATATATATATATATATATAAACAATATATATATATATGTATATATATATATATATATATATATATATATATATATATATATATATATATATATATATATATATATATATATATATATATATATATATATATATATATATATATATATATATATATATATATATATATGTATATATATATATATATATATATATATATATATATATATATATATATATATATATATATGTATATGTATATATATATATATATATATGTATATATATATATATATATGTATATATATACATATATATATATATATATATATATATATATATATATATATATATATATATATATATATATATATATATATATATATATATATATATATATATATGCATACACACACACACACATATATATATATGCATACATATATATATATATATATATATATATATATATATATATATATATATATATATATATATATATATATATACATATACATATATATATATATATATATATATATATATATATATATATATATATATATATATATAATATATATATATATATATATATATATATATATATATATATATATATATATATATATATGTATGTGTGTATGCGTATATATATATATATATATATATATATATATATATATATATATATATATATATATATGTGTGTGTGTGTGTGTGTGTGTGTGTGTGTGTGTGTGTGTGTGTGTGTGTGTATGTGTGTGTGTGTGTGTGTGTGTGTGTATGCATAC